ATAATGTTGTGTGTTATGAATAAATGTGATATTATTAGTTGATATAACCCTAAGCTTAATATAAAAAACTTATTTTAATGATTTAAGGAATTGATTATTACAATAGAATTTTTAGAAACTCTAAAGTAAGGAATTACTTAAATAAAATTTTAGGACTCAATATGGGCTAGAAAAGGTAGATTTGTGATTAGGAAGAAGATTGAAGAAAAAGAGAGGTCAAATTTATTCTCAATACATTTATTTAACACTATAATTTTAAAAAGTGATTTCCTATTTTAACTTTATTTTTACAATGCATTAATAAAATTGAATCTATTTTTGTTATTGAATACTTCACAAGTTCTTGAGAATACGACACTTGTTTATACTATAACCACCTAGTGTGCTTGTTAGTAAAAGAAAAGTCTCAAGAATGGGTTGAGACAAATTATGATAGACTAAATTAGGTCAAATTAGGTCGAGAAACACTTATAGGTCAAATATGATCAAGATATACTATATTAGGTCAAAAAGATTGAATCAATATGGGTCAAACTAATTGAGTTAGGTTAGACTAGGTCAAGATAACTCAAATCATGTCACGATAAGATAAATTATGTTGGATTGTATTAGAACAGCTCAAACCATGTAAAGGCAAGTTATGTAACATTAGTTTAAGATGGACTAGGTCAGATTCTAACTAGACAAGATAACCCAAGATGAGACAGATTGAGTCAGGTTAATACAAGAGATGTTAGATTAAAAGGAGTCAATCCAATATGAGTCGAACTTGATAAGAAAATGTTATATTAGGTTAAGTTAGGTTAGATTAGGTCCCACTAGTTTAGGTTGAAATGGGTCAACCAAGTCAAATTAGATTAAGACAAATTTATTTGATTGAATCAAGGCCAGTAGGTTGAATATGATCAAAACAAGTCAAGTTTAATTAAACAAGTTAAGTTGGGGTTAAATGAACTTGTAACGAATAAAGTGAAACCAAGACTATGTTTATTCAAATTAAGAAGTCCCACAATGAGATAAGTTACGTTCGAGTCAATCAACTTAAATTAAAATGAATCAAAATATACTAAAAATATTATCATTTATATTTAATCAAAGAAAAAATAAAAAGATAACAAATATTTATTTAAGAAAGAAAAAATATAAAAAATTAATCTTATTTTTTAAGTGAAATTTAAAATTATATAATTTTAATTAATCAAATTATTTAATAAATTTTAAATATTTTATCCAAATAATTTTTTTATCATAAAACATTTTCAAATTTATATTGAAATAAAGTATCTCTACAAATTCAACCGACAAACACAATATTAATTCATGTAAAATTAATATGTGGGATGTACGAAAATGATAGTGGGATTCGTATTGATAAAATGGAGGAGAAATAATCATAACAAAATGGAATAAGGTGCAAAAGAGTAGATTTTATTATGTATGCATACGTAACCTCAAAATAACAATGCTAATTAATTTTGTATTGAGATATATTAAAACTAATTAATAATTGTAGCTTAAGAAGATAAAATTTTGAAGAATAAATAATAAATTAAGATTTTCATGGACATGAACCGATAACTTAACAAAATCAATTTTCCATTTGATTATCTCTACCGTTGAATGCGTCACTTCCATCAACGTATCACCCTTACATCTCGGTAACATAAATGAAAAGAAAATAAAGAAATAAAAAATAAACAGTGAAAGGAAAAATACTTAGAAAATAAATTCAAAAGCACTTTCAAAAAGCTTTTTTACTTTTACGTAATTAAAAATACTTTTCGGAGCACATCTTTATTTGTTTACATAAAAAAAAACTTTTACATAACAAATTTATTAAGTATTTTCCATAACACAAAATGTCGAAAGAATATTCTAAAAGTATTTTTTGTAATGTAAAGAAAGTAATAAAAAAAAGGTATTTTGAAAAGTATTTTCTAAATGTAAAAGAAAAATATTTCAAAATAATAAGTTTTTTTCTCAAAAAATACTTTTAAATTGAAAAGAAAATAAATAACTCAATTTATCTAGTGGCTTTCGATACTCTATTTACCTTATACAATGAGATGTATTTTATTGGAGTATAATGAAATAATAAAACTTAAAGGTAAAACGAAAGGGTAGTGTATAGGAGAAAAAGGGGGTGTAAATAACAGAGCCACATTTGAATAACCAGAAAGGGCCCAAGCTCATCCAGATTAAGAAAATAATTTTGTATTATAAGTTTATATTTGAGTATAACTTACGCACTGACGTGTAAGTCTTACTTCACTTTCACATCCTAATTTGAATAACTTTTTATTTTTATTTTTACTCAGTTTATCACTTTTTTTTTTCTTAATTCAAACCATCTAACTTTTAATTCTTTTCTCCCATATTTTTACTCTCAAATCCATCACCAATTCAAATTAAGGTGAAAAAAATTTGTGTATCTCTTTCCTTATATATTTACTAAAACAATACTCCTCATTATTTATTTTCTTTAAATTTAAATAAAGTAAATATAAAATATTATAAAGTTCCATAAAAAACCACTTTAGTTAATATAGACATATTTTTAAATTTAGATTGAATGAAAAATCGTGAATTTACAAAATTGAAGATTAATATGGAAAAATTAAAAATAAACTAAAACCACAAATTAAAAGGAAATCAAAATAAAATTTTTTAGTCAAAATTTTATAAAATGTAACTTATATATGTGTTTGGTAAATGTTTTGTATTATATATACATATTTTGGGTGGGGTTGGAGTTTTATATCATATATGCAGATAACATTCTGAAGTTTGAGAGTGCATTGATACAAACTTCATGTTGGCATTTAGTGAAGGATATGAAGGTCAACGTCTATACAATAAATTGAACCGTTTATGCATAATTCAGATACATGCATATTAAAAAATATTTTATGAATAATATATTCACAACATTCTATATTATGCATCTTTACTTGATAAAAATCCAAAATTATCAATCTTAGCATACACTCAAATTTGTTTAAGTGATTAGAAAAGAGTTTGCAAAACCATGTCTTGCTTATTTCCTCCATTTCTAGACCTACCATTTAATCTACATTACTGGTTTGTTCAAATGATTATATTAGATCTAGATTAGTACGATATTATTATACCATATCATACTAAATAAGGAAATAGATATTAATTTATTTTATTAATATAATAAAAAGCAATTATTCATCGTGTATTTGCAAATGGAGGTGTGACTTTGAAGATTTGTATTCATCTGACCCTGTACTCCTCAATTGATATCACTTACTCTTGTTTTAAAAATTGAATTAAAATGTATTTTCACTGTATAACTATATTTTACATTAAATTTTATTTTGAAATCATTATTCTAGTGATAAAACATTTTTTTTTAACTACATAATAGTATTAAAATCTTTATGCTAAAAAGCATGACAAATTATGATCCACTCCTGATAATAGCATTTGATTTGGGCTGTGTAGTGGTGTTCCTTTATTAAGTGGGCCTGATTTATCAACAGAAGGAAGAGAACATGATCAAAGATTTGGTCCCATACATAAAAGCGAAGGGATATAAAACACAGAAGAAGGAAAGAATAGAGGTCCACTGCTGCAGCAGCAAAGCTTCCAAAATGGCATTAATTCCTCAGTGGTCCATGCTCTGTAAAATCTGAGATCTTATAATACCCATTCTACGAAAAACACAGTACAAAGGGTAATTTCGTCCAATAAATATAAAACTATGAACTTTAAAGGAAAGAAAACAACGTGGCAGCTTAAAGGGCCAATATTTTAATCCGAATGAAACTTGCATCTGAATTCATCAATTATTAATTAATTAAGCAAGTTCCTCTTTTGATTATCTGAGATGGGTTATCATTGCACGTTAACAACAGAAGAAAGTACAGGTTTAACTTCTTTAGGCAAGACTTTAAGTCAAAATAAGGGTAGTTTATCAGTGAGAAAGGTCTCACAAAAGCTGTAATAGATTTACACTAACCTTAGAATAAAAACTTCCTCGCACCTTCACCTATTTAACTTATTATATTATGAAACAGCAAAACAACAACCTTGCAGTCTCATTGGACTAACTAAAATTGGAAAGGTTGCAGATTAAGACATCAGCACTTCCACATTACTTTTCATTAATTAATTTATTAACCAAATCATGCTGCTTGCCTTCTAAGCATAAACAAACAAAAGATCATGGTAATTACATGATGTTTAATAATAATGGATAAACACCAGAATAGACAACAAGCATATTGTAATATTCCAAAATAGTATTATATGCAACTAATCGCCTATCCTGCTTGTTCCTTTTCTGTCCCAAGACAATTGCTTGTAATAAGGGTTTTAGGAAATAAAAGTCCAATGGGAAGATGAGACCAAAGCAAGAGAATGGAATGGATTAATGTCCTTGTCAATGTGATTAATGGGTCTAATCCTTATCTTTCTTAGGAGAAAACTTCCCTAGGACCACTTGCACACCCAAATGTCATAAATCATAAAGAAGAAATTAATGGGAAGATTAGATTATAGAACTTTGGTAGTGCAATGTTTCACATGACGCATCAACAACATTATCTCCAAGATAAATTCTTGTAATTGTTGGAGATCTCCATAAATGAATAAGGACATAATTGCAGATAGGTTCCATTTCCACCCCAGAATTGACAAAGATCGTGAATTGGACAAACAAGTATGGGCATTTTGGGAGTTGGAAATTTCAAGGAGAGTAGATGCACAATTAATAATATCAACGTTTCACAGTTAAATCACTTAAAACATATACCTATATACCTGTACTTATCAAGGAGAAAACGTGACAGCAATAAGAGGTATCTGCAGAAGAGGGCGAATCATGTTCTGGTGACACTAATTTCATAGTCTATGAACATAAATAAACATAATACGACATTATAATAGAAACTAAGAAAAATATTCATGGCGAAGTTGCTTTGCTTCCAGCTTCATTCCCATCTAACTAGGTTTCTTGACAAGAAGGGTAGCTAAGATGACAACTCATTAAGAGAAACACGAACATTACCACATCCATCTTCTTCATTTATGTGAATATCATTGTTGCTGTTGTTGCTATTTGGGTTGTAGGGGTTGTTGATATCACTATCAAAGCCACCTCCACCACTGGTATTATTGCCGTCATCATGATCCCCAGTACTTCGAGGAGAATTTTCATTTGCATTTGCGTTTTCCCCTTGATCCGATCTTTTCCTGAGAGTGTTCTTGTTGTTGTGCATCCACACCTTGAAGACACCTCTAGAGACCCCAATGTCATTACAAAATTCCTGGACCAATCCATCATCCCCTTTCTGCATTCTCCATCCCAGTTTCTCGGAGAAGCTATGCATCTTTTCCTTCTGCTCCTTGCTGAATTTGGTCCTGTACCTCTTCTTCGGGTTCTCGGTATTCAGCATCACGCTTGAAAAGGTGAGGCCTTTGTGGTGCTGATGTTCATCCGACGGTGTAGAATAGGCAGTGCCGAGGGCTAAAAGCATGTGTGGTGCTGAAGCGTGGTACGGTGGTAAGTGAGAGAGTGGAGGAGGTGAGGGGCTTGACATCGGGCTTGGACTGTGGCTCGGGCTCGAACTCAAGCTCGGACTCGTGCTTTGGCTCATGGCTCGCTGAGAGATTGGTGCTGGTGCTGAAGGGGTGTAGATGCAGCTAAGAAAACTGGGGTTATTGTTGTTGGTGGTGGTAGTGGCCATGGTAATGGCGTTTCTGTTAACGTTGTTGATGTTGAGGTTGATGTGTTCTTGAGGATCACGGCGGTGGAAGTTGCGGTGACAGCCACACGCGGCGCATTTGAGTGAGCGAGGGTCGGTGGGGTTGATGGAGGAGGAAGGCATGAACTCGCCACAGCCATCAAGTGCATGGCCACCTATGCTGGCGGCGTGGTTTTTGAGACATTCTTTGTAGGAAACGACCATGGACGGTGGTTGTGACCACGGAGCACCGGTGGAGGTGGTGGGGTGGCGCTTGGGGGTGCCGTTGGAGAAAGATAGAGACTTTGTGGTGTTACTGTTGGTGGGGTTAATGGGTAATGTGTTTTTAGTCTCAGCATCCAAGGTGTGTGGTGTGTGGGTACTCCTGGAGGTCAGGTCCATGTTTGTTGTCTCTTCAAGAATGATATAACAGGAGGAAAGAGAAAGAGAAAGGGGAGATTAGGGTTTTTGACAAACTTAAAGCATTGCGTTGAAAGGGTGAATTGTTGGGTTGGAAGGGGAAAGGAAGTAAAAGAAAAAACAAGGGAAGGGATTAATGGTTTGGAGGAAAGAGAGTGATGATGAAGGAGGTAGAAATGGTGATGATGATGGTTATAATGAAATGTGATGACAAAATCTGAGGTTTAAATGGGGTTGGGAGTGGAAGGAGGGATACGACAATACAATAGGGTCCAAAATCTCAACCACTAATGATTTGAGAAGAGAATACAAACAAACAATAAAAAGAAAAGATAAAACCTACGTATTAGGTTTTGGTAAAAGCAAACAAGTTTATGAATGAAAAGAAGGGTAATCAGATATTTGAGTAAGTAGGTGGAGGGAGTAATAAATGTAGAGGTATAGTATTTTTTGTTGAAAGCAGTAAATAATTTATTTTCATTATACGTAATTAAAATGCACTATATATGATATGTAATAATTAATTTGAAAGTGGTATAAACAATGATTGTGTAAATTTGATATTCCCTGTATGCAAAAGTTAAATTCTTAAAAAAATATTGAAAAAAATGCGAAAGTGTAGAGTAGTATTTTGAAATAAGTGGTAGGTGTTATGGGTATAATAATTATATGTGTATGATTATTAGCTGGGGATAATAAATGTGTCTGAAAATATTAGGCAAGAATATATTCGTTGAGGTGAGTGATTCACAGAAGAGTCAGTGTCTGTCTGGTGCAGAAGAGAGAGAGAGGGAGGGGTGGGTGGTACGGATGTGGGTATTGTCCAGGTGGTGCATAGACATAGTACCGAAGGACAATGGAGGCACAGCTGGGCCAAGTCATTCTCCTGCCCTGCAAATGCAAACACATCAATTCTGCTCTTCCTTTCTTACTTACTCTCATAAGCTCACCACTTTCCTGCTCCTTCCCAACGAAAAAACCTTACCTCATCCTTTCAAATCCTCACGCCAAAACACTTCCACTTCCTCTCAGACACACATATTCCAACTTCCCAACCACACAATCATCTATACATTCAACTCTTTCCACAAACCATTCAGTATTTACTTGGTTTGGTTCAATCAATTTTAATAAGTAATAAATTTAAAATTATTTTTCTGCTGTGGAAATTCAGTCACATTATCTAATTTACTCTACCATCAACAATAATCACTCTCGTAAAAGAAAACATGTAATATGTAAACAAATAAATATATATATATATATATATATATATATATAGAAGTGGAACTCGTGTATACATAACCTGTAAACAAGAAATGACGAGTGAAAAAGTTAACAAAAATAGTTTAATTTAGAAACATTTTCACAAATTTCTTTACACAAATATGATCTTCAAAAAAAAAAAAGATTTGCCCTAAAATATTTGCACCATGTGAATGAAGGTGATGTGGTGCATTAGGACCTCATTTCATCAGTTGGCATTTTCGGCTTCTTTTGCGAGGAGACAATGTGTGGACGTGAAAAAGACTTGTTTGGAAATGTACCAACTTTCAATTCATAAGAAGAGCACACCATCTTAATATGCTCAGCTTTTGTCTACCTCTCTCTCTGGGCTACGAAACCTTAACAAAACTAATACCAGCTCTTCCATTTTGTTTCTTTTCTAACATACCCTTTTCACCCTTAATAGGATTGTAGTCTGTTTGGCTACCATCCAAAAGCACGGTGGTGGTGAACAAAATCAATTCAAATACTGTTTCTTTATTCTGTAATATGTATATATATACATGATAAAAACTAATTATATTTACAATACGCTGATTGTTGCATGGAATTTTATTCTCGATACTGGAACTGTGATTAAAAAGGCTGCCTCATTATTTTTATATATAATTCTCCTACGTTCAATGTTGTTGACATTGATTCCTAAGTTAAATTACTTGACCAATCGACATGGACATTTTATACACGGTCTTCAAAATAATAATTGATTTTTCTAACTCTCTAGTTCTAGGTCCAATATATTTCACTTTGTTTTGATTACATAACCATGCAATAAAACTCCATAACAATTTTAGTATTAAACTATTGTTTGGTCTAGAAGGTGGAAGGAATGACATAGCCTCATAGGTGAAGAGTGTCTTAGACAAAATAAAATACAATCAAACAAGAAAATAGAAAACAATAATTGTTTCACATAAACATCGATGGAGAAATAAAAAAGAACAACAATTCTTCTGAGAAAAAAAGTATACACAATGCAAAATTTCAACCGTGAACAAGCACAAACCATGAATTTATATTTAGAACAAAGCAAAACATAAATATATCAAATTCAATTCATAATCCAAGCTCTAACACATAATCTTTTCAAATTGGTAGGTTGGTGCATCATATAATTTATATAGATGGTAGAGTTCCACCCTCTCATCCTCTCTGCTTAATAAGCATTCATAAAAACTTATTTGATTTATTTTGTTTTTCGGTATAATACTAAAATGTACTTACCGAAGTTACATTTTATCTAAACACAACGAAATTTATTGAGGATAGCAAATATGTGCCACATAACAAAACAATTTGTTTGATTTTGTCCTATAACAATCCAAAATATACATATTATAAATATAATATGGAGAATATAAAAAAAAAATACTTAGAGAAATATACATACACATAAAGTTTCTTAAGATTAAAAAAATATATTTTTATATGCTTATTAAATTTAAATTTATTCTTATTAAAGTCAAATACTTGTATTATTTAGTATCATGTAATACATTATCATCTTAATTTTAAAGTAATGCCAACAATAATATATAAGAAAACTTAATAATTCAAAATAAGCATTTAAAATTTAAATATATTATAAAATAACATAATTTAAATATGAGGTTTATAAATCACATCACATTTAAATAAACCTATTATAATGTCACATAATCCCTAAATGATTTATGAAAAACTATATATTAAATTAGACATTACAATAATGTACATAAGCATCTTAAAATACAGAAATAACCAACAATAAAAAATGAGAATTAACTCAAAACTAGACAAGATCGTGAAAATTTTATTGATGTAAAAGTATTTAGGTGCATAATAAGTTATAGAAAAAGGGAAACATATGTGAATGAATGGAAGAGAATTTTCATAACAGAGAAACGTAAAAAGAGAAGAAGAAGAGAGTTAAAATTGCAAGAGAATACACTACCACATACACATATCATTGTGTCGTATGTAACATCTGAAAATTAACGTAATTTTTTTTCAAATATAATGTATTAAATCATATTTTTAAATAATTTTAAACAGACTCATGAAGAAAAAAATAATATATATATATATATATATATATGAAATTAATAATAATAATTATTATTATTATATACTATTACAATTAAAATATATAGATATAATATTATATTATATATTATTATTAATAGGTAAAAGAAAAAAAAGAATAACATTGTACAAGAAAAGATAAGATTTTATTGACCAAAGACTAAATTACTAATAAATTAATGAAGGGATAAGAAGCATTAAATGAAATATATATATATATATATATATATATATATATATATATATATAATAAAAATTGTTACTATATATATAAAAGGGTAGGAAGTGGTGAAAAAAAAAATGAAAGGTAAGAAAGGGAGAGAATGAAAAGAAAGAGAAAGAGATAAAGAGGGGGAGAGAGAGGGATAGAGATAAAGAGAGAAAGATAAATCACCTCTGCAAAAATTTGGTACATCATCTCGTAATTCTTAAGGTTGGGGAGGAGACTATTATCACTTTATTTTAATTATTGTTCTGGAGTGAGATGTCTCTAACCTCATTCTATTATATTACGTTACTTATTTATTTATCTCCAACTACATACCGATATGCTTTAGGTTTATTTATCTTTCTTCGGTCTTGCAACTGATCCTATTTTAGTTGTCTCCGGTTATGTATTGGTCTTATTTGTTTATTTTATTTTATCTCCAGTCTTACATTGGTCTTATTTTAATTATCTCCAGTTATGTACTTGGTCCTGTTTGTTTATTTTATTTTATCTCCAATTATGCACTAGTCCTATTTATTAATTTATATTTATGTTATTTAATAATAATACCTATTTATAAAGATTTGATGATATTTTAAATGGAGGTTGAACCTTGAGAATTGAAATGAGTAATTATCATGAAGAACGTGGTTAAATTTTGACTCATTTATCGTGACTAATCATTACAAATTTAATTTAAATCTTCATAACATAGAATGTGTTGAGGAAGTTGAAAAACATATTATATATATATATATATATATATATATATATATATATATTATTTTAAATTATAATTGTTCTCACTCCTTATTGTAATCTTTTGTGTATGTTATATTTAAATATCAACTTAAGTAGATGGAGATGCCAAATATCCCAAATCTCTTTTTTGCAAGCGTCATTGCCTTCTTTCCGAAACTACTTGGAACATAAACATTATTGACAACTTGGTTACTTTTAAAGGACATGATTATCAATATTAACATTTGCATTCGATATAGGAACTCCCATCATGCTAGATAGGCTAATAGTGGTCACCTTCTACATGCCTCCTACCATTTACCAAAACCCCTTAATCAGTTTGTTTCTACCACAATGTAAATATTTGTATAATTCTAGTAAGAATAGAAAGAATAAAAAATAAATAAAATTCTTTCTTCTTTTATATATCCTGTAAAAAAATAGTAATGTAAATTACTTTTACATATATAAAATATCTTTATTTTACCTACTACTCTTATCAAATAAAAAAAATGTCACATTAAATGGTATCGCAACAACGTTTCATGTGTGACCTATGAAATGAGCCTATTATGAGATCTTATGAACCTAACTTATATAAGTTCTTATGAAAAATAATAGGAGGAATAACGAGTTGAAAGAAGCGCTACAAGCTATCCGAGCCATGACCGCTGCATTTTTA